AATTCCATCAACTTTTGCTTATCTGGAAATTGTTTGAACCCTCCTTCAAATTTAAATGATAATCTTGCTGGATACAGTATTCTTGGTTTGAGGCCCTTCTGTTTCAGTGCATTAAATATATCATGCCAGTCCCTTCTGTCCTGTATGGTTTGTGTTGGGAAGTCTGTTTATAGCCTGATGGGTTTTCCTTTGTAGGCAATCTTTTTTCTCTCTCTGGCTGCCTTTAAACCCTGTCCTTGTCTTTGATCTTTGCCATTTTAATTATTATATGTCTTGGTGTTTTTCTCCTTGGGTCCCTTTTGTTGGGAGATCTGTGGGTTTCCATGTCCTGAGGGATTATTTCCTTCCCCAGACTGGGGATGTTTTCAGCAATTATTTCTTCAAAGACACTTTCTATCCCTTTTCTCTCTCTTGTTCTTCTGGTACCCCTGTAATGTGAATATTGTTCCATTTGGATTGGTCACACAGTTCTCTTAACATTCTTTCATTCCAAGAGATCCTTTTATCTCTCTCTGCCTCAGCTTCTCTGTATTCCTATTTTCTGAATTCTATTCTATTAACAGTCTCTTGCACATTATCTGGTTTGGTATTAAGTCCTTCTATTGCTTGTTTCATTTCTGTTATCTCTGGATTTCATCCCTTAGCTCTTGCATATTTCTCTGCAGGTCCATCAGCCTGGTTATGACTTTTATTTTGAATTCATTTTCAGGAATATAGGTTATATCTATCTTACCAGGCCTTGTCTCAGGGTTGTTTGACTGATTTTTGACTGGACCAGATTCTTCTGCCTTTTCATGGCAATAGAAGTGACCGCCGGCAGGTGGAGCATGTGTCAGCTGGAAAACAAAGTCCATTCCTGCTTGCTGGTCACCTTGCCCTTCTCTGCTGCCTGTGCCTGTTACCCACCCCTGAGAGCAGTCTCTGTGTTAATTTCCTGAGCTACTGTGGGTGGGGCAGCCCTCAGAATAGCCTAGGACACTGCAGGGGGGTGCAGATGCACTGGCTGTGTTTTCCTTCGAAAACAGCGCCCCTTCGTGCCTTCTGTACCTTGCTCCAACTTCCTCTGCCTGTGCCTGGCAGCTGCATGGAGGGCACATCCTCTGGGTCTGGCCCTGTTATCTGCACACTGGGAGGAGACTCTGGGTGGTTGCTGTGGGTGGTGTTGCTCCCTGGCTGCCCCACTGCTGTGGTGGTTCAGCTGGTTTGCTTGCAGTGCTGGCTGTGGGGAATGAATGGCAGGCTGCTTATTGCTGTGAGGGGCTTCAGAGCTGCCTTGCCACCTAGGGCTTAGGGAACCTGAAATTCCTTAACATTTCCAGCCTGCTGGGCTGAGTGTGCTGGGACTTTTTTGTCCATCTGTATATCCTTGTCCCTTTAAGACTTTTAAAGCCCCAGCTTTTCTTTTGTCCCAGGAGAGCTGGCTTTGGGGACTAGCTCACAGTTTCTGTCTTGGATTTTATTTTTCCATTTCTCTAATATGCAGTACACTATATGATGTGTGTCTGTGCTCCTTCTGCAGATTACTAGAGCTGGTTATTTAGTATCCCTGTGCTTCCACTACCTCTCCACGCTGATTCTTTTCCTCCCACCAGTGAGATGGGGTGGGGGGAGTGTTTGGGTCCTGCCCAGTCATGGTTTTGTATCTTACTCTTTTCATGAGATGCTGAGTTCTCACAGATGTAGATGTAGCCTGGCTGTTGTACTATATCTTCTGGTCTGTCTTTTAGGAATAGTTGTATTTGCTGTATTTTCAAAAATATACATGGTTTTGGGAGGAGATTTCTTCTGCCCTACTCACTCCACCATCTTGAGCTCCTCCTCATCTGGTACTTTTCTTTATACACCTGGCTTATTTCACTGAGCATAATACCCTCTAGCTCCATCCATTTTGTTGCAAATGGTAGGATTTGTTTTCTTCTTATGGCTGAATAATATTCCATTGTGTATTTGTACCATATCTTCTTTATCCCTTCATCTACTGATGGACACTTAGGTTGCTTCCATATCTTGGCTATTATAAATGGTACTACAATAAACATAGGGGTGCATATATCTTTTTGAGTCTAGAGTATTGTTTTCTTTGGGTAAATTCCTAGGAGTGAAATTCCTGGGTCAAATGGTATTTCTATTTTTAGTTTTTTGACGAACCTCCATATTGTTTTCCACAATGCTTGAACTAATTAATATTCCCACCAGCAGTGTAGGAGGGTTCCCCTTTCTCCACATTCTCACAAGCATTTGCTCTTCCTTATCTTTTGGATGTTGGCCATCTAACTGGCGTTAGGTGATATCTTATTGTCATTTTAATTTGCATTTCCCTGATAATTAGTGATGTGGAGCATCTTTTCATGTGTCTTTGGCCATCTGAATTTCATTTTTGAAGAAGGGTCTGTTCATACCATCTGCCCATTTTTTAATTCAGGTTATTTATTTTTGGGTGCTGTGGTGTGTGAGTTCTTTATACATTTTGAATGTTAACCTCTTTTTGGATATGTCATTTTCAAATATATTCTCCCATACTACAGGATGCCTTTTTGTTCTACTGATGCTGTCCTTTGTTTTGCAGAAGCTTTTTTACTTTGATGTAGTCCCATTTTTCGCTTTTGCATTTGTTTCCCTGGCCCAAGAGGATGTGTTCAGGAAAAGTTGCTCATGTTCATATTCAAGAGATTTTTGCCTATGTTTTCTTCTAAAAGTTTTATGGTTTCATGAGTTACATTCTGGTCTTTCATCCATTTTGTGTTTTCTTTTGTGTATGGAGTTAGACAATCATCCAGTTTCATTCTCTTCCATGTATCTGTCCAGTTTTGCCAACACTAGTTGTTAAAGAGGCTGTCATTTCCCTATTGAATATCCACAGCTCATTTATCATATATTAATTGACCATATACACTTGGGTTTATATCTGGGATCTCTATTCTGTTCCATTGATCTATGGTTCTGTTCTTGTGCCAGTGTGAAATTGTCTTGATTACTGTGGCTTTGTAGTAGAGCTTAAAGTCAGAGAGCCTAATCCCCAAGGTTTATTCTTCCTTCTCAGCATTGCTTTGGCTATTCAGGGTCTATTGTGGTTCCATATGAATTTTAGAACTATTTGCTCTAGTTAAAGAATGCTGTTGATATTTTGACAGGGATTGCATTGAATCTGTAAATTTCTTTAGGCAGGATGGCCATTTTGACAATAATAATTCTTCCTATCTATGAGCACAGGATGTATTACTTCCAATTTAAGAACTTAGGAGAAAAATCTGTCAGGCTCTCAGTGGAATGGGGATTAACGAGAAGTAGACTTTAATCAAATTAACATGGCAACTCAGTCCCAAACCAAGGTAATAAATAATTGGGAATAAAAAGTTAAGGGGAGTGTTAAAGGTTTTTAGTTCTAGAGTGAGACAGTCAAGGGTTTGAATCATAGTGCTAAGTTACTGCCTATTTGTTCATGGGAGTTTAGTTTATCTCATCCTGTCCCCTGTTTTCTCAGTTGTTAAACAGCACTGCCTTTGTAAACTTTTTGTAAATAATCATGCAGAGAATTCACATAAAAGTCTAATACCAATAAATTGTATACAATATTCACTCATCTAAGCACAAGATTTCCTTCCCACTCCTAACCCCAACTTGTTAAAAAGAAATAAGGAGAAAAGAGGAAAGAATGAATGTTTCTCTCAGATAAATGTCATGTCGTCTGTGCACACCTGGGAAGTTATGAGTTCAGAAAATAGGAGGAATCCTGGGGATTGAGAAATCTTCTCCCAGTGCAAGAATCAGGGCCCTTTGTCTCCTTATCTAAAGCAGCAGTGATGAAATAATTTGTATGTGTTTCTTAGGAAAGGTGAGCAGAGCTTTGAACATATGGAAATAAAAGTAAGTGAGACATCCAGCCTCCCTAAATGGGCACCACTCGGCAGAGATTTATGCGGAGGTCTGCAGAAGCTGGAGAGTGGTGATGGCAATGTCCACACTACTGCTGGCCTCAGACCAACTGCACTGCTTCCCATTCAGCCAAACTGGGAACCAGAAACCGCGATGATGAATGAGCAGGCAAAACTCCATGAGCAGCAATAACAACCAGGTAAAAAGTGTAACTGATAAAATTTCCTACTTACCATTAACTGCAAATGTTATATATGTTCTAAGGAATAAAGTGAAGAAATGAGCCAGGCTTTTATTAGGTTCATGTATCTTTACCTAATATCCTGGGGAAAAAAAAAAAAAAACCACAATGAAAGGTAAAAATTCCTGAATGGTAATACTCAATTTATTATGGCTTCAATTTTTAAATCACTTTTAAGTGTAGAGCAATGCCTAGCATAAAACCAGTCGTTATTTTGAAAGAGTTTATGACTTTATTTGAACAATTTAGATATCATGATTTTGAGAGAGAAAAGCATATTAGGAGAAAAAAAAATTTACAAAACTCAACTTACATGTTTACAGTTATGTAGAACATGATAATGTCTATTTTAATCAGTAAGAAAATGATGGACTACTCAATAATAATTTAGATCAATTAGTTGTCTATTAGAAAAATAGTTTTCTTACAATGTAAGTATATTATCTAGATCAACTATAGATATGACATATGAACATAAAAATATTTGGTGTGGCAAACTTCCTAAGATACACACAAATCTAAAAGCTTTTAAACAAAAGATTCACTCATTTGGTTATGTAAATATTAAGCTCTTCTTACATGAAAAAATACAGTGAGTCAATGTTTCCATTTCAAGACAGCAAACTGATCACATGTTGTGATTTCCTCTTTTGTTCAAGAATCTCTGAACTACTAAAAAAAATAATAAATATTCCATAACTATTTGCCAACAAATAAGGAGGATCCTCTTTTGATTAGAAACTGAGGTGTCCCTGGAAATGGAAAACAGGCCACATATAGCAAATGATGTAAAATTACTAATTCTTATTTATTAATCACTAAGGTTTTTCAATTGTGATACAACAAAAGTCAAAGATTACAGTGTATTATTAAATATGTTTCTTTCTGAAAGTGTTTTTTTTTAATGTTTTCACTGAGTTCAGTACTCTATTCTTCATTTATATCCCAGATGAACTTCAAGGGAAAATCTTTCATCTCCCTTTGGAAAATCTTGTCAAACCTTTCATTCTGTTGAACAGTCATGTGATTTTTCCAGTCTCCAATTGTACCTGGGAGGAAATATAAACAAATTGCTTCAGTGAAGTTTCTGTGCTGGGGGTGCAGGTGTGAGACTTTAGCTTTGGGATAAACATGATTTTTTCCACTTTTATTTTCTCTCCTCTCCAAGTTCCCAGTTCCTCCTTCCCATAGTCATGATTTCACTCTCTCATTTTGGGCAAGCTGGTAAACTTATCACTGCAATTATACTGTAATTTGATGTAATTAGTCCACCTTCTAAGCTGTCAGACACTTGGTAAAAAATAAAATCACTGCAATTTAATCACTGTTGTTCCATACTAACACTGGTTATGGTGTTTTTGTAAAAGTCTTATAAAAATCCATTAACAAATATCACTGAGCTAATAATTATTGATGAAGACATGGATGCTCTGAAATATTTAAAGTATAGAAAAGATCATAGAATTGATAAAGGTAGGGCTGAAATTATTTCATCTTTACCCAATTTAGGTATGACACAGCCTCAAACTAAACTTACAGACATACAGAATTTTTATGGCAAACAACAGCAGAGGAAAGAAGAGGTAAAAGAGGAAACACTAATTTTAAAAATACACTGGTTGGAATGAAAATAAAAATCTGAAAAATACTGAAAACTCAAAGAAATCTTAGGGCAGGAGTGGTCATGCAATGCAAATAACATTTAAGAAGGTAACCTTAATGAGAGAAGTGCTTTTGAAACTGCATAATAAACATATGGGAATATATTTCACTACTACAAATAAATTTTGCTCACTCTGATCTCTATATTCACTATTTCAGCCTCTCTTGTTCAGGTTCATTAAAGACATAGGTACACAGAAAATTTTCTTTTTTCAAAGAAAATCCAAATGCAAGTACAGCAATAGTGATAGATTACAATGGTCATAGCATCTAGAAAACAAAGGTCTGTGCTGGGGCTAAAGGGAAAGAACACACCCCCTCTTCAGGTTGGCTCCCTGTTACCACTGCTTTAATTTTTAAAGACAAGGGGGAAGATAAACCTAAGAGATGAAGGAATACAAAAAAATTTTCAAGAAATCAAAGCCAGTATTTATTGCTATTTTATATAGAGGCATAGAACCTTACAATTAAGTGAGAAATCTATGTCTATAATTCTGATTACACATTTTCCACATTCTTAATTAGAAGATCATAAAATATAATTTGCAATGCTTGTTTAAAATAAAAATAATTTAATGTATTCAAGTGTATCAGTTGTATAATGATTTCATTCATTCTAAAATCTCACTCATTTTTAGGGCACATAAATGAGATATTCCTGTGAGTTGTTACAATGTGAGATTCTGGTTTGATGTAAGACACGTAATAGTCACTCCTGATGACAAAAGAATAACAAATGTGTGCTGTTAATTCACCCTTGATAGATGCTCAGAAAAAGTCGTGGAGATGTAAAAGCAGCCAGCAATGGCCAACAGATCCATCATTAACTCATCATTAGAATGTGGCCATGTTAATGAAGCGATAGTGTCTAACACTGGATAAACATTCATTTGTGGCAGGCACTGTGCTAGGCATTGGTAGATTTTTCAGGGGCCATGTAGAAGGACTTGTGGTTGTAGATTACTCCTCAGATACCTTCAGGGACCAAATATTATAGTCTCATGAAGAGCACAGAGTACAAATCATGGAAAATCAACTGCCTGGAGGATGGAAGGGGATAAGGAGAGCTCCATTTTGGAAAACTCTGGCAGGAAGTCTAGAGTCTACACTTTGGTTCATTTGCACCACAGACCAAAACAAAAACTGACTCCCGAACTTCACCTTTGCGAAGGAAAAATTCATAATTCTTTAAATGTTCAGCTGAAGTTTTTAATATAGTTGTATAATTTGCAAGTGGGTCAGACTTCATGTTCTCAAACGTGGCCTGCCTCATAACAGCATCCACTTCCTCTTCATTCAGTTTCTTCCCCAGAAATTTACAGACTGTCAAGATAGAACTTCTGAGATCCTGAAGTAAATCAGAGATTCATACATTATGCAAATCATAACAAAGAAGACTTACATAAATGTCACAACTAAATAACATCACGGAAGGAAAAGTGTAGCTGCTTAGGCTGGTTATAAATTTGGAATTACATGGTGAGAAGGGACTTCATTACTCTTTCTTGGTAAATTAATCTTTCCTTTGTCTGGAGTTTTACTCCTTATTTGGGGTTATTTCTGGATTGCTCACATTTCATTTCATCTGTGTTCACTAGACTGCCTTGTGAGAGTAGCATGGCCCTGGATAACAGTGCAAATGATTAGATGGACAATTACAGAATCAGAGCTGGCAATTGAGTATACCAACATATGCAGAGACAGCAAATATGAAACAGATTTCAAAGCCAGTTTCAAGCAGTAAGAGAAATTTGTTGTAGGTCTTAAACAGAAATGTTTTTCTATGAAGACAAAGCTGGAGACATACAGACTAGACTAAAAGAACAGTATATGCATTATTGCAGTTGCAGGAAATGTGTGAGATGTCAGGTGACAGCAAAGTTAGAAGCTGGGTTTCCTTGGAGCTTGATGGAAACAGGCCTGGGATGAGAAGGTGGGGGGATATGGCTGGAGGCACTGGAAGAAGCCTTATTTTGAAGAGTGTAGCAAAGCCAGCCAGATACTTGTATCTGGTCTTAGTAGCTGATATAAACTAAACAGGAGAGTCTAGGCTTCTATCATCACCTAGGGGCCGACTTTAACCAAAGCTAGTGATGAATGCTCAGCTGGTGGCAGCCATTAGTTGTTGCCTGCATTTCTGCTTTTCCTCTTCTTTCTTGTTAAGAGATCCCTGGTGATATTCTGGCATCAGTGTCCAGCCCCATTCAAGGAATGGTCCTGTTTGAGATGAGATCCTCCTGGTACTCCCATTCTCCTTTATGAGATTTTTGTCTAGAGTGGTGACTGATAGACTTTTGGCATTGAAACAGAAAGACAAAGTCACACAGAAGGTTCTGAGATTGATGTTCCTCCTGAGGTAAAACCAGGAACATAGCAAAGGAAAAAGTCCTTTATGGCTCTGTTTCTTTTATTTCTACTTTAGAAGTTATCTATCCTATCCTCAAAGGACATGAGATTGGCACCGTAACAGCCATCTTATATGAAGGGAAGCATCAGTGCCACACAAAACATGGCAAAAAAAGCAAATACAGAATTCCTGGGACATTCATGACATCCTTGAGCTGCCATACCCAGACTCAGGGTAACTTGCCTCTGGATTTCAGTCAATAAACAACAGATGCCCTTTTAACAGATGCTTTAAGCCACTTATGGTTGAGTATTATTGGGAGCTGCATTCTTCCTAATGGAACACAAAAATTTTCACTTACTTACCATGTCATGCTTACTCAACATAAGGCTCACAAGAATGAATTTCTCAAGAAATACATCCCAGTGTAATAAACTAAATCCAGAATGTTAAAAGGGTTAATAATGCAGAAAATAGAATGAATAAAGCATGACTGAAAGAGTAATACCCTGGTTCAAAATAATCAGACATATACATGCCTGCTAATACACAGAAATCCCTCATACACATATTATTTATTAAAATGAATTATAAATTAAAAACTGGTAAACAAAATAAAGAGATGACATGGAAACACTCTTCTATGACACTGAATCTTGTATCTCTAATTTCGTTTGTCCTTTGGGGACTCTAGACATGAACCATCAGTTTGTTAGGTCAGACTGGGTTACCATTTGGGAAACCAGAAATATAATCTCTACTCACAGAAATATATATACATAATCTGGTATACAGACAAACCATCTGCACTCACCTTCTTCATATCCTCATACATTATGAATTGAATGTTGAAGTGGCTTTTGTGCTCATACCATCCTTTAATGTGGTCAAACCAAAGGCTTCCTACCACTGTGGGAAGATAGAAAAGGAATTAGGGAAACATATTGAACAGGTTGAGAAATAAGCTATTGCATTCTTAAGGGGTGCAGGAATGTTTAGTAACAAAGGAAAGACAAGGAACTCTGTTGCTAGATTCCACTTTGTTCTCTGTCACATGACTAATTGGAGACTCACCCTGCTGCCACCAGGGAGCTATACATTCATTAATGGAGAAATCGTTTTCTTATAAATATATTTTACATAAAGATAAAAGCATACTAAGGTGGGATTAGGAGGGACCAAAACCAGACAACAGTCATGGGAACATATCCTCTCCATCCCACTCCTCCCACTGTCCCCAAAGACACATAGAGTTGCTCCCCTCAATGGACTATGTGGGCTCCCTGAGGAGTCCCTTCAGCTCTGCACAGTGGTTTAGATTTTAAGCTTATTTCTCCTGTATAAGACCATCATCTCTATGTCAGCAGGCCTTGCTCTTGCTCAGCTACCGAAATTGACTCCTCAGAACAGAATGGGGGAACAGAACTTTGTCACATAGAAGCCTCTGGAAGTTGCCACATGCAGTATGCACTGCCAAAGCCCCAAACCTACTATGATCTACACTGAGCTCCCTTCTCAGCTGAGCTAGAACAGAAACTTCTGAGTTCCTGAAACACTAATCTGTTCACACTTCTTTAATAGCTAAGAGTAAATATTCCCTTTTAATATGATGTTGTAATCTTAATGATCTCCTGAGTTTGGGTGAATGTGAATAGAATTTGCAAGTATGGCAGGACGTAGTCATCCAGACAACCCCAACAATGGTTTGATAAATTGTCTACTGAATCCATTCTACTCTATTTCATGATTGTCTTTCCCTCTGTCAAATTCACTAAGTTTAAGAGCTCACCTCAGTTCTGAAAACTGATAGCTCAGTTTATAAGTTCAGTTACCTTTTCCTTCTAGAAAGAGTTCCATGAATTCCTCAATACTGACTGCAGATTTGAAACTTCTCAACATATTTGAAAAATGAAAATATGAGCACAAAACATCTTTAGGGTTCCTGTATACGTAAATAAGCTGCAAAAAAAGGAGGAAACCATTGTTTCTGTTGCTTTCATTTTATATTTACCTCCTATAGACATTTCAGTTGGATGAGACCCATTATTTTAAGCTCTCACAATCTCCTAATCATGTCATAAACACACTCAGCCCTCTCCTCTGTATTCTGGGTTTCTCTTTCTCTATAAGTCCTCTCTCTCACTCCATGCCTGGCCAAGACTATCAATAACTCTTCTAGACACATCTCAGAAGTTACCGTTTCTTAAATCACAAAGGCAAAGAGAACTACACCATTCTTTTCCCTTATACCAACTAGCTAAAACACATGAGAATGCTTCATAAACTACAAAATAATATGAGAACTTGAATACTAAACTAAAGTGTTTTCAATGTACAAGTGCAGTTTACACCTTTCTTACTCTTATACCTTGATAGGGGAAAACACAAGTCTTTGGAACATAGAGGTTACTTCTTAGGAATTTTTTACACTGAAGGAATAGAGAATTCATTTAAAAAAAGATTTATGATAATCAACTGGAAGAAATAGTTTCTTAACAACAATATTACATGAATACAAAATACATTAATATCTGCCCAGCCCACATTTAAGGGACTTATTCTGTGTGTGTACAGAACATTCAGGGTCACTCGGTAAACCCCAGGCCTTGCATCTCTATTGAGAATTGACATGTATATCTGTTGTTTCTCCTCTTGGAGAATATCCAGTTTAAGTAAAGAGAAGGTTTCAGCCACCTGCCCCCTCCCTGTCAGTGCCTGGAGACAATCCTTCATGCGAGGAGATGAGTTGATGGACTCTTGGTATGTGTGTGCAGTTCTCATTCCTCAGTGACCCACACTGCCCTGGAATGAGTCCTACAGCCACAGCACTTGTTTGGTACCAACAAAGTGGTTATAATATCAAACAAATAACAATGACGATTGATATTTCTGTAAAGAAATTAATAGTACTCCTCCAAAGGGTGAACTATAAGAAAAAAAAGTCACTTTCAGTCCTTGCTATGATTCTTTGTGTCTCTAAATATGGATTGGGAATTGCTTCTTGTCATACATCTGTTGGCTTATGTCAAAGTGACAGTGTTATCACAGAGTAAAAGGTCCTGCCTCTTTGGGTAGACAATCATGCAAGTTATCAGTAGAGGAAAACTAGGAGTTCATATCATGTAGAATCAAAGGGAGAAGTTACCATATACATTTTATTTAAATTTGTGGTATTAGATAATGCGACCTAGGTAATAAGTGCAGAGCAAGCAGAGGAGAAGGCCAGGTCAGATACCTCCAAATTCAACACTAGATGGTTAGACAGACAAGAATAAGCCAGAGGGAGGAATGAACAGTATCTCAGACGCCCATTGTACTATTAGAGAAAACCCTAAATAATGCAGGGACTGATTTTTCGGTAAAACACAAAGGCTTAATATTAGAACCAACAGGTTAGAATTAATTCATTATCCCAATGTTTTCAAACAGTTAAAGGGTTCCCACATTTCTACTCTGACATGCTAAGGTAGGAAAAGAAACATGTAAAGAAGGAGAAAATGATCAACTATGTCAGATGCATGGATAGGTTCAAAAAAGATGATAGATGATTCCTTGGTTTATAAAATATAAGAATTATGTGTTATTGACTTTGAGGTGTCAATGAAAGCTGGGGGCAGAAGCCAAATTGAGTAAGTTTAGATCAAAAGAACAGAGAAGCAGCAGCTAAAAATCAATATGGAAAAAGAGGAGTTCTGTCTTACTTCAAAATGGGTAACATGACATCTTGATTATGGGCCAAAGAGAATCATCAGGAAACAAGAAATTGATGATGAATTGAAAAAAGGAAATTACTGTTCATGCCAAATCTTCAAGGAGAGAGCAAGGTTCCCAAAGCAGCCTGACTGACATTTTGAACCAATTAGTTGTCTGTGGCACGGGCTACCCTGGGCACTGGAGCGTATCTAACAGCATCCCGGCCTCGGGGCTCTTTTCCCTCCGCACCAGCAGCACCACCACAGGCCCAGCCAAAAATGCTCCAGACAGTTTTGGGTATCCTGAGACAAAATCACCACCATCTGAGGTACACTGGGCAGACAAAAACAGCCCCTGACCGTGAGTGGAGGGGCTGGTCTCTAATAGGAGAAGACAGTCTACTGATTACACTTTTTCTTTTAAGGAGGGAAGGCACTGAGGGGACACCAGTGCAAGTAACTTTCTGAATTGCAGGTCATTAACTGGGGTCAGTGGAGGCACAGAGCAGAATGTTGTTAAGGTTTCCAAAGAGAGAAAAAGTATCAATTAATCCTTTTGGAAACTGAGAAAGCAAAACATATTAAAAGCAGAATTTGAGAACTGTGGTAATAAGTATAAAGACCAGGCACAGTGTTGAAGTGTTTAGGTTTTTTGCAGCCACTCAGATCCCTGAAAAAGGCAGGAATGCATTCCAATTGTGTTGAACCAGATTTTGGATTTGCCAGCTTATTATAACATAGATAAATGGAGCAAAGGGATTTAGACAGAAGAGATTATAGTGCTAAGATACAGTGAAGAATTGGGACTCTTTTCTGCAAGAGAGTAGAGGGGATGGTTCTGAATCCCAGTGCTGACACACACTGGGCTGGGAACACCAGAAAGGGGCAGGCCCATGAGGAGGCAGCAGTCTGAATAAGGTGAAGAAGTCACAATTTAAGTTAGTGTAATCACTGGTGATGCCTTTCTTCATTCATTCAACTCCAGTATCTGAAGGCCACTATTCTCAGCACTGTGAACACAGCCCTGAAAAAACCTCTACCTCTCTCATGGGTTTTACGTTTGGATCAGAAAGATAGATATTAAACAAATGTATATATTACAGTAGAGGGCAATGAGTGTCATAAATAGAGGGTGGTTTATAAGCAGGTTAGAAGGGTAGCTGAGGTCAGTGGAGGAAAGACCATTGGAGTTGGGAAGTCCTCACTGAGGCAGGAAAGGGCAGAGCCGGGGGGCTAAAGTTGAAGGAGACCCATCCTGCATTTGCTCATCCCTGAGAGTGAGCACCTCCTTAACGTTTGGACCCTGGTGCCTTGCTTGCCTCTCCTTTTCTGGCCCTGCCAGAAGACCATTCACATGAGCTTTCAAATTATCATGTGAGTGATGGGAGCAGAGATAGAGAGGTAAGTATGGAGCCAAGAGCCTATATTATCAATGGATGGAGGTCACTGATCCAGGGAGAGATGGAGAGAGGGAGAGAATCACTCTGTAGAGAACACCGACTTGGTTTGAAGTTCCTTTGAATTTCATGGAAGTAGCTGCCTTGAGGGAGAATGCGGCAAAATATTTAGAAGTATCCAAGGGAAGCAGGGAAGACCCTAAAAGGAAGGAGGTGAGAAATTGCTAGTATTTTATGTATATACATAGTGATAAAGCTAATTTAAAATTAGGGAGTTATATATTACATCTATTTTATATATGCTATCATAATGTATTTTAATATAAACTATATGAATGTCTGTATATGCTTTACTTATTAAATGACCTACATTATTGTATAATCAGAAAAATGACAAGATGAAAGTAAAATTAAATATTATAAATGAGAACGCCAATGGTATTGAAAATTAAAGTTTGCAAATACTGTATTAACTAGCAACTGGATGAATGTAGTATCAGCATAATGAGCAAATTAAATAATGGAAAGAGTAATCATTCAGCAAGCATAGCCTTTTCCTACTTTGGCTTTTTTCTTCTTCAGCCCTCTGGGAGCCAAGTAGTATGGAATGTGGCTACAGAATAGACGAGGAGATGGTCTTTTGTTAAAGTGAATTTGTGGTCGAAACTTGTATTCAAGAAAGGGGACATAATCAATTGTGTCCACATTTGCAGTTCTTTTGCGATGCTCTTCAAAATAAATCAAGCTTAGTAACTGCTGAGTCCAGATGGTTCCTGTAAAAGAAATAATTTCTTTTTCAAGTTCAGGAAGTTCTCAAAATGTTCAAAACTAAGGCATCAGTTTTTAAGTTTTGTATGTTATGTTATTCAACCAAGGGTAATGATAAAGATGTCTGCATGGATTATTTTACACATGTAAAGTGCAGTAAAGGTAAGAGACAACAAACATTGTTTTTATTTTGCTTTAAAGAAAATGGGGCCATTTGTCACACAAATTCATTCTTTGACTCTTTATCTGTGCTTTCTTCTTCTTCATATGTTACCATTACATTAACTTCTATGCCTGCCACTATATTTTCTTCCTCATTCCTGGATCATTAGCTAATATAAGCACAGATCTAAACAAACCCTTCAAAGAAGTAACTTTTAATTTTTCCAGCCTTCCCTCTGTTTTCTCACTTTGCCCATAATCTCTACTTAAGGAAATACTGTTTATTACAAATACCCAAGGGAGAACTTGTGACACCCACATAGACAGAAAGGAAAGATGCTACCTGAAGTTGGACCCTGGCTTCCAGTGCGATTTGAGAAATTCTAAGATAACTCTTATGTCTGTGGCCAATATGCACATGTAATTGCTGGTGTTTGTTTCCTTACAGTTCTTTGCATGCTTCATATATGGGACTATTGAGATTTAAGACAAACCCACTATGAGGTTGTGCTTCTAGTATTTCCAAGACAATGCTTTCAAAGAGTCTATCCCACCAGAAGTTACAAGTCCCAGTTAGAATAGTAATCTGAGTTCTGAAGTGAATAAATGTACTGGCCCCTCATCAATTCCCATATAGCCTTCCCAAAGACTTCCAGTGTCACCCAGGAAAGATTATGCCATGTTAGCACTGCTGGAGCTAAAACTCAATGAAAACTCAGAATGTAGCTCTAAAAGGATATCTGTGAAGAATATCTTTTCTCCTTCACAGACAAGAGTTGCTTTTCCTTCAGGAAATAGCACAGCTTCAGGATGGTGGACCAGTTAAAAATCATGACCTGCCGGGGCCGCAGATCTCCAGAGACTCAGGAATATGAGGACTGCAACACTGTGCCCCAGGCAAAACAGGCTGCACTTTCCCCTCTCCTCCTCCTCCTCTTCTGCGGCTCCTCACCCTCTCCCTTTCCCATCCTGTCCTTCCCTTTCTTTTTTCTTTTCTGCCCTTTCAGCATTACATGTAACAACACCACACAAGGACACTACAAAAAAAGAAAATTACAGACCATTATTCCTGATGAACATAGATGCAAAGATCCTTCAAAAAATTATTAGCAAACTGAATTCAATAATACATAGAAAGTATCATACATCATGATCAACTGGAATTTATTTGAGCTTTGCAGAAAGGCTTGACATTCACAAATCAATCAACATGGTATACCACATTAACAAAAGGAAGGATTAAAGCTGTATTAGCAGCTCAATATATGCAGAGAAAGTATTTGACAGAATTCAACATCCATTCATGATAGAAACACTAAACATAGTGGGCATTGTGGAAATTTCACTCAACAAATTAAAGGCCAGAGATGAGCCCACAGCTGACATCATTCTGGATGGTAAACTGGGAGTTTGTCCTCTAACATCAGGATCAGCACAAGTGTGCCTATTCTTATCAGTCTTTTGGGGAATCCTAGCCAGAGCAATTATCAAAAAAGGAAATAAAAGTCATCCAAAGTGGGGAGGAAAAAGTTAAACTGTCTCTATTTGTAGATGACATGCTATTATGTATAGGAAGCAAAGCTCTTAAAACTCCCTGAAAAACTGTTAGAACTATTCCAAGTACTCAGTGAAGTTGCAGGATTTATAATAAATATGCAAAATAAATTTTAAAATATACCAAAATAGACATTTCTGTGCACTAAAAACAAAGTATCAGAAAGAGAAATTAAAGATACAATTCCACTCATGGCAGCATCAAAAAGAATAAAATGGAGAGGAATAAATTTAACTAAGTTTATGAAAAACCAGTACTGAAAGTGATATGACACTAATAAAAAATAATTGAAGGATACACAAATAAATTGGAATATACTCCATGTCATGGATTATAAGAATCAATATTTTTAAGATGTCCACACTCCCCAAAGCAATATACAAATTCAGTGCATTTCCTATGAAAATTCCAGTGGTATTTTTCACAGAAATAGAAAACACCATCCAAAAATTTGTAAGGGACCACAAAAGTCTTGGAATAACCAAAGCAAGGAAGAATATAGCTGGGGGTATCACACGTCTTGGTTTCAACTTATGTTGCAAAGTTTAATTTAATATAATATAATTAATATAATATAATATGATATGACATGACATGACATGACATGACATAACATAACATAACATAATATAATATAATATAATATAATAAGTATAATATAATATAATATAAATATATCATGAATTTATACTATTCAACACAGTGTGGTATTGGCATAAAAAACAGACACACAGATCAATGAAAAAGAATGGAGAGTTCAGAAAGAAACCCATGCATATATATGGTTAATTAATTTAATGACAAATGAGCCAAGAACATACAAAGGAGAAAGGATAGTCTATTTAATGAGTGATTAAATGAAACATCCATTAACAAAACTGAGGAAAAACTGAACATCCATTAACAAAAGAATGAACTGGACCACTACTTACAGCCTACACAGAAATTCAATCAAAGTGGATTAAAGATGTGAATGTAAGACCTGAAACCTCAGAACTCTTAGGAGAAAACATAGGCAGTAAGTTCCTTGATGATTTGATTCACAAGGATTTTTTGGTTATGACACCAAAGCTAATGAAAAAAAATAAAAACAAAAAAGTGTATCCATTTAACTAAATGGTTTCTGTGCAGCAATGGTAACCATCAACAAAGTGAAAGGGCAACCTACAGTTTGGGAGAAAATATTGGCAAATCATGTATCTGATGAGGGGTTAATATTGAAAATAAACAAAAATAAACCCCTCAGTACCAACAAAACACAACCATCCAGTAAAAAAATGGGCAGAGGATCTGTACTGACTTCAGTGTGCATATACAGTTGTATTTATATGTGTATATTTATATGTTTATATGCATAGATGCATATATACACACACATAAATATTTTTGTCTGATCACAGGGCAATGACAGAAGAAACTCCACAGTGCAATCATAGTGCACAGACCAGGTAGCTTATAAATAACAGAAATCTATTTGTCACAGCTCTGGAGACTAGAAGTCCACGAGCATGGTGCCAGCAGATTCAGGGCTCTCTTCCCAATTCAGCTTTGGTCTCGTTGTACTCATATGGTGGACTGAGATAAGAATCTCCTCGAGCTTCTGTTGTTAAAGTATTAAACCAAATCATTGACGTTCTTTTTCTCATGACCTAATTAATGATTTCCCAAAGGCCCTATTTCCCAATACCATCACCTTTAGGGGTTAGGATTTCAATACATAAATTTTGGGTGGACACACATATTCAGACCATAGAATAAAAAAGAAAGAATGGATGTACATTTAACTTATCCCTCCTTTCCCCTAATAAATAAATAATATGGTAGCAGGAACTCCATCCCAAGGTCTCTCTCTGAATCCCTTGATAGACATTAAGGTAACCTGATGTTTCAAGTAGAACTTCTGGGCCACCAGAGTCCAACTGTTCATTCCACAGCCCTCAGAGATCCATAAGAGACTAACCTGAATCTATGCTCGTACTCTGTGTCAGGCTGGCTGCCAGTCACAACAGGACTCTCTCAACATTGCATTGATTGGGCACATGTGCCTTCAAATGGAATTGAAAGGTGTTCATAAAATTGAAAGTCCCTGCTGCTGACCCACAAAGTGCTGACTTGGCTTTAACTTAGGGGAACATCCAGGGAGAGTGCATGGGACTCTTAGGGCTCCCCTAGAGCTGCACTGCACACTGCAGGGTTTCACAGAGTCAGCTGAAGCATCAGAAATATTTCTAAAGATTCAGACCCTTTTTACTTCTCCTATAAACTCTTCCAATTTACTACTATGACCTGTTGGAAGCTAAAAATGACTTTTGAAGATCAGGATACTTTCTTATTAATTAATGTTTGTTTTATCTTATATTCAAGCATTATTTAAAATATGTATGATCTTCCAAATGATGATTGTTTTCTATCATTTAGATACAATATTTTTGATAAGCTAAGAGTCAAAAACCCATGACATTGGAAATGGGCATAGTGGGGTGAACTATTGCATGGACTGAATGGATGAGGATGGGAAGGGGCAGAAATAACGTGTCCTCAGAAAACAGTTCAAGATATAAAGCTGGGTTATCTGAGAGGAAATACACAGTATAGAAAGTGATATAAAAATCAGACATTTGTCGTATTGGGTCATCAGCAGGAAAAAGGTAGGATGAAGGAACCAGGGCCTGAGGTTCAACCATAGCAGTGAGGTGGGAGAACAGCCCCTAAGATCTTCCTATGCAAATCACTACTTAGGATTTTGCTTTAAGCCACTCTATGACTCAGAGACAAGTTTAAAATATTGGGATATATTCAATACAATTATTATTAGTATAAGTTAAATGTCCTTCTTCTCATGTCATTAAATACAGTTTCAAGCATCTGACCCAACTCCTTGCCTGAGGGTAAATATTCCTGCCTCCTTTCCCAGCCGCTTCACCACTAAGTTTTTGATATATTGTCTTCAATTGAATTGCTTCACCATTTTGTCCCTGTCACTTGCCAAAATCCACAATAACTTCAACTACATTGTAAAAACCTTATTTCATGAGATATTAAATTCTCTTAGACTTATAATACCCAATAGGTTTAGAATATATGATCATACATAATACTACTGGAAAAACTAAGTTCCCATATTACAGAAAAGTTATTTGTTTACTAGGTTAGCTGTTAGGGTAGAGAACTTACCGGATTTGGGATATGTGATTATGAAGACATCATCATCTCTGATTTCAAAATCATCTAAATTTTCTACAAAGTTCACATCAATTAGTTCAGATTTAAAATTATATCCTTTAAACTTGAACAAGGTTGTTTCTGCTTCTTCCATAATTCAGGTGCCTGCCAAAGACAGATAAAATTCTTTGCAAGAAATTTAGTAGAATGTTTTTCTCCCTTTGCATTTTTTGCTTTATGTTTGTATACTGAGAAAAGAAATTGATTTCTTGTTTTCTCCACAGACTCTGATAAGTTGCTAGCTCTGGAATCTACTATCCCAGTTTCTGAATGTGTGGCTTTGCCTCAATGCCCACGAGCCTGCTGTTCGTAGGCTGGGTCTTGATTTTACATGTGTGTACTCCATTCATGTAGCTACAATGGAAACAGTTAAAAGTAATAATTGTGATAATTTCAAAAGTGATGCTTAAGTGAGAATTCTGATGTAACTTAAACAGTAAAAATGAATACAAAAATATTATGTAAGCCAGATGCAGACGCACTTGTCCATTCCTCTAGCCTAACAGTCTGTGAGCTGGGCCTTTTTACTCCTGTAAAGGAACTACAATGCTTTAGGGTCGAACAGGATTTCAGAACAATTTCAACATAAATTTTCTGGGTAAGGTTTACCTATTTATGATATTTCTGATATCTTTAATTTTAATTTAATTTTATTTCTTAATTTTTAACTTATTTAGAGAAATTCTGAAAGTACAACTATGAAGTAACAGACATGAATATACAAAAGGAAGCCTGAGAAATTACAAGTGAGCTATTGTATTGTCCATAATGACAATTTCAATTACAACACAGAAAAAGTGTGAAGGAAAACATTCAAATAATGGGTCATATGTAGAATGTGCATCAAGCCTTGTCATCCTTTATGTGTATATTTGCTTTTCATTATATTCTGTTACTAGCTTTCTAGTAAAATCTCTTATGTATTAAGAACTCTGTGGTTAGTTGATTTTGAGTCTCATCAAGAGGAGTGTCAAGTTCTTTTTTTAAATTTCTTTTTCCCAAATAGGTAATCCCAGAAATAGCTGATGAAGAAGAGCACCAGAATTACACAATTTGAAAACAATTCAAGGTAGCCTGGGCCAAGGGCCATTATAAGAAAAAGGAAAATAAAAAATCTGTAAAATATTTTAACAGTCACACTGTAATTGCAAAACCTACTTTTGATAGCCTCTCTTCAAAAATGAGATATATGAAATGTATAAATTGGTTGGAACAATAACAGCCAGGAATTCTGGAATTCCTGGTTGTAATTCATAGCCAGGACTAGAGTAGGGGACCATGAAAGGGAAGGTGGAGTAACAGAGAGAAGGTTTATTCTGTCAGTACGTTTATTTAAAGAGTCTTTTCTGGGCTCTCCTCCAGGGTTCAAGAGGAATAACCTGACTGAGACAATGAGGCCCTGATTTGGGCTCGAATACGGATTCTATTATAAGGAAGCAGTGCTTCCTGAGGAGCAGCTGATTCCATGTCTTGTGATGAAAAAAGAAAGATGAGCCTGCAACATCTTCTCTTATTCTTTTAGAGCTATTGGGGAGAGTGCTAAAGGGTCAAAGGACTGCTAGTCACGCAGGGGTGACATTTGAAGAATCAGTGGGCATACAATAATTGCAATAAATTAGAACAATGAAATGTCATATGAAGTAGCATGAATTCATGATGATGCTTTTAAGAGGAATGCGCACAAACTTGATGTGATGTGAAACAAATTTTTAAACTTCCTAACAGAAATTATGTGACTTCCAATATAAATCTGATTTTTAAAAATGTAAATCAATTACCATTTTTAATAATGGTAAGTAGGACATGGTTAGAATGCATTTTAAAATAAATATGCATAGTTTATTAGTTTAAATGAAGGAATAATGAGAACTACAAATAAGAATATGTATGGTCAGGGGATTAAAGATGGCAGCATGAGAAGTGAGATAGAAACCTCCTCCCAATACCACATATAATATGAACATGTAGCAAATACAACTAATCCTGAAAGAGCAGCAGGAAAGAAGACTATGACAGACTGCCTACATCTGGGAAAAGATAAAATCTCACAGAAAAGTGTAAAGTAGCAAAGCTGAAATCCAGAGGGACCCAAGCCCTTCCCTGACCACAGCTCACAGGTGGGAGGAAGAGAGATGGAGCAGGGAGGGGGTGGAGGCCTACGACTGCTGAACAACCAGCCCTGGAGATCTGCTCTTGGAGCACAAGCCTACATTGCATGGTGCTCTGGAGATTAGTGGAGTTGTAAAGCTAAGACAGGTGGAATATTGAGAGACTGAGATTCCAGTTACTTGTGGAGAACAGGTACCAACAACTGGCTGCTTTGGGACAAAAGAAAGGCAGGTACTCTGAGAGACTTCCTAACAGTGAGAGGGCTGCTGAAAGGGCAAGAACTTCACAGAGTTTGCTACTCAGGAGAAAGAACAGGTGGACAAAATTGTCCCAGTGTACTCAGCGCACAGATTGGGAACATTCCGGAGCTTCAGGCACTCCATTCCATTAGCTAGCAACAGAACTCTGAAGCCACGCACCATGATACACAGTGTGCTGCTCCTTTCTTCCTGCAAGCACTGGCTTGCAAATATGCTGCCCCCACCATTGCACCAGCCCAGCCAGAGGGCAGCCCCACCTATGGCAGCTACAAGGGCATAGCATAGAGGCTCCTCCCTGTGCATTTGGGCCACTGGCCTTGGCAGTGGAGGCAGGCAATGCACCCAGTAAGCAGGAAAGAGCACTTTTCTCCAGGCAGGCACCAGCACTGCTCACCTGTGACCCCACCATTGCTCCAGGGACTGAGCAGCTGCATAGTGTAAAGCATCTGGACACTAGAGGATGCCTCCCACAAATACGGAATGTCAAAGGAAACTGTTTCAAACCAAAATCTCAAAAACACCAGACAAAGAGCCAAGTGAAACTGAACTCAGCTAACTTCCTGAGAGAGATTTCAAACTAAAAATTATAAACATGCTCACAGAGCTACAGAAAAATATTCAAGACCTCAAGAAGGAATTCAAGAAAGAGATAGAAACTTTGAAAAATACAGTATCTGAATGAAAAATACAATGGAGGGATTTAAAAGAAGATTAGATGAGGTAGAGGAGATGGTAAATGAAATAGAAATTAGAGAACAGGAATACAAAGAAGCTGAGATACAGAAAAAAATCTCTAGAAATGAAAGAATATTAAAGTACTGCATGAATAATACCAATGGCACAATATTCACATTAAAGGAGTATTAGAAGAAGAGAGATAAAAAAGGGACAGAAAGGGTCTTTGAGGAGGTAATTGTTCTCCAGTCTGGGGAAGGAGATCATCTCTCAGGCCATGGTGGTGCACAGATCTCACAACACAAGGGACCCAAGGAAGACAACACCAAGACATATAATAATTAAAATGCCAAACATCAAGGATAAGGAGAGAGTATTAAAAGCAGCCAGAGAGAGAAAAAAGATCATGTAAAAGATAAATCCATCAGGATATCATCAGCAGAAACCTTTGAGGCCATAAGAGTGTGGCATGATATATTTAATGCAATGAAGCAGAAGGGCCTTTAACCAAGAATACTCTACCTGGCATGATTATCATTTAAATTTGAAGGAGGGATTAAGCAATTCCCAGATAAGCAAAAGTTGAGGGAATTTACCTCCCACAAACCATCTCTGCAGTGTATTTTGTATTGACTGATCTGGATAGAGGTGCTCCTAAGGCTGAATAACTGTCACCAGAGAAAATAAAACCACAGTAAAGGAAGTAGACCAACTAATTACTAAGCAAATGAAAATTATATCAACTACCCCAAAAGTCAGTCAAGGGATCCTCAAAGAGTACACAATATAGCACCTAATGTATAAAGATTGGAGGAGGAAGAAAAACAAGGGAGGGGAAAAACTTTTAGACCATATTTGAAATCTTTGGTAACAATGAATCTAAAGCCTGCAATGGGAAAAAGCACATATCTATCAATAATCACCCTAAATGTAAATGGACTGAATGAGCCTATCAAAAAACATAGAGTTGGTGAATGGATAAAAAAACAAGACCCATATCAAATTTACCAAGTATCATAATTCCTCCAAGTGGTAAAGATACCTCAAGACAAATGCTGGGCATAGCAGCCACAGGGCATAAATCTGCAAAGAAGTAAAAAGCTAAGCTTTTCAAACAATATGGCTTCTCTCTCACTTACCAACTTTACATTTCCCT